GTGTTGGGCCACATTCAAAGCCATCCTGACCTGAATGTAGGCTGCTGGCCACAGGTGGGACAAGCTTGCTCTATGGCCTAGTCCTGTAGGATCTTAGATGTCCGACAGCCTTCCTTCACTTCATCCCCTTTCTCCCCTCTGGCCGGTGCTAGGGTGACTGATTAGGTCTGTGGTTCATACCCATTCTAATCTCCTTACCTCGCAGTTTTTGGACTACACTCTTAGTATTTACAGTATGAATAGGCTGAGAATTGTCCAAATTTTTAAGTTCTAGTTCTTTTTTTGCTTAACAATTCATTTCTCTTTTTTCACCTTTTTTTTTTTTTTTTTTTGAGATGGAGTTTTGCTTTTGTTGCCCAGGCTGGAGTGCAGTGGTGTGATCATGCCACCATGCCTAGCTAATTTTTTTTTTTTTTTTGTATTTTTAGTAGAGACAGGGTTTCACCATGTTGGCCAGGCTGGTCTTGAACTCCTGACCTCAGGTGATCCACCCGCCTCTGCCTCCCAAACTGCTGGGATTATAGGCGTGAGCCACCACACCTGGCTGCCTGTGGATTTTTCTATTGTCAATTGTTTCTGCTGTTTTCTATTCATACTGTCTAGTCTCCTCGTGTTCCTGAAAATTTTTGATTGTGTGCCTAACATTGCATTTGCAAAATTGATTATAGAAATTTGGAGCTCAGGACTTTCTCCAGGGAGGATTTAGGTTGCTTCTGGCAGTAACTCTAGTGTTCTAGGATCACCTGGTTTAGCTGCAGAGACTGAAATGATTAGTGGCTGAGCCGTCTACTCAGTCTCTCCCTTTCTCTTAAGGTACAGCTTTTTGGGTCTCAGCCTAAGTGAATGGGGGTCATCAGGGCCGCCTCACCTGCTGGGCTCTGGATCTAAGCCCTGTCACCTTGGTCTCCTGAAGCTTCCAGAAGTGCTGCTTAGCCTCTCAGCTGCCCTTCTGAAACTGGCTAATGCTCCAAGGAGAAAAAGGACCTCAACTGTCAGGCTCATCTCTGGATCTTTGTCCCCAGCCTCACCACCACTCATATCAGCTTCACATTCTTTCCATTGCTCTCTGAAGCTTTCACACTGATTTCTTTTATATGTATATATAAAAACTATATATAATTTATAAATATATATGTTTTATATATGAATATATATCTGTTATATATGTGTGTGTGTATATATATATGTATGCACCCAGCCCACAGATTTCTTAAAAAATATTTTCTCCTTAGCTTTACTGGTTTTCCTCCAAGTGTATTAGGGTATAATTGTTTATAACACTTTTACATTTTATTTTGTTTTACATCTAATTTTGGAACGTTTCAAATCAGTACAAAAGCAGAGAGAACAATATAACTCCATGCATCCATCACCCACTACCAGTTACCAGTACTCTGACACCATTATGCTATATACCTCCGGCCACTTTTTCTTTTTCTGAATTATTTTAAAGCAAATCCCAGACATCATAAAAAGCTCTCCTTAAATATTAGTATATGGCTGGGTGTAGTGGCTTGCACCTGTAATCCCAGCACTTTGGGAGGCTTTGGCGGAAGGATCACTTGAGTCCAGGAGTTTCAGACCAACCTGGGCAACATAGTGAGACCTTGTGTCTACAAAAAATTCAAAAAATTAGCTAGGTGTGGTGGCATGTGCCTGTAGTCCCAGCTACTCGGGAGGCCAAGGTGGGAGGATCACTTGAGCCCGGGAGGTCATGGCTGCAGTGAGCTGTGATCACACCACTGCATTGCAGCCTGGGTGACAGATGAGACCGTCTCAAAAAAAAAAAAAAAAAAGGCCAGGCACGGTGGCTCACACCTGTAATCCCAGAACTTTGGGAGGCCGAGATGGGCGGGTCACGAGGTCAGGAGTTCGAGACCAGCCTGACTAACATGGTAAAACCCCGTCTCTACTAAAAATACAAAAATCAGCCGGGCATGGTGGCACGTGCCTGTAATCCCAGCTACTCAGGAGACTGAGGCAGGAGAATCGCTTGAACCTGGGAGGTGAAGGTTGCAGTGAGCCAAGGTTGCACCACTGCACTCCAGCCTGGGTGAACAGAGATGAGACTCCATCTCAAAAAAAAAGTGAGTTTTCATTGCTAAAAATGAGGTCTTTGAAGGGAAATATAACTATTTCCCTTCCAATATAAGGGAAATATAACCACTATTATATTTGGCACAATTAGCAATAATTCACTGATAAGTTTCAATACTGCGTTCAGTTGCCTCCACTAGTTTCCAAAATGCCTTTTCACAGATGGTTTGTCCAAATCAGAATCCAAATAAGGTTATTATGTTATTTTATTTATTTATTGTTTTCGAGACAGAGTCTCACTCTGTCGCCCAGGCTGGAGTGCAGTGGCATGATCACAGCTCACTGCAGCCTGGAACTCCTGGGCTCAAGTGATCCTCCCACCTCAGCCTCCTGAGTAGCTGGGACCACTGGCATGTGCTACTTCACTTGACTGCCTCCTTTTTTGTGGTTAGTCTTGTCAGAGGTCTATCAGGTTTGGTTTGCTAATCTTCTCTATTCTCTATTATTCTCTACGGAGTCTCGCTCTGTCCCCTAGGCTGGAGTGCAGTGGCGTGATCTCGGCTCACTGCAACCTCCGCCTCCTGGGTTCACACCAGTCTCCTGCCTCAGCCTCCGGAGTAGCTGGGCCTACAGGCGTCTGCCACCATGCCCGGCTAATTGTTTATATTTTTAGTAGAGACAGGATTTCACTGTGTTAGCCAGGATGGTCTCAATCTCCTGACCTGGTGATCTGCCCGCCTCGGCCTCCCAAAGTGCTGAGATTACAGGCGTGAGCCATCACGCCCAGCTGAGACAGAGTTTTGCTCTTTTCGCCCAGGCTGGAGTGCAATGGCATGATCTCGGCTCACTGCAACCTCTGTCTCCCAGGTTCAAGCAATTCTCCTGCCTCAGCCTCCCGAGTAGCTGGGATTACAGTTGGCCACCACCACGCCAGGCTAATTTTTGTATTTTTAGTAGAGACAGGGTTTCACCGTGTTGGCAAGGCTGGTCTTGAACTCCCGACTTCGTGATCCGCCCTCCTCAGCCTCCCCAAGTGCTGTTATTACAGGCATGAGCCACCACCCTGCCTGGGTTTTCCATTACTTTTAAATAAATCATCTTGAGTTTTTTTTTTTTTTTTTTTTTGAGACAGAGTCTCGGTGTGTCGCCAAGGCTGGAGATCAGTGGCGCAATCTTGGCTCACTGCAACCTGCATCTCCTGGTTTCAAGCAATTCTCTGCCTCAGCCACCCGTGTAGCTGGGATTACAGGCACCTGCCACCACACCCGGCTAATTTTTTGTATTTTTAGTAGAGACGGAGTTTCACCATCTTGGCTAGGCTGGTCTTCAACTCCTGACCTCGTGATCCACCCACCTTGGCCTCCCAAAGTGCTGGGATTACAGGCGTGAGCCACCGCACCTGGCTCATCTTGAATTTAATATCATCTTATTTATTTATTTATTATTATTTTTTGAGATGGAGTCTCCCTCTTGTTGCCCAGGCTGGACTGCAATGGCATGATCTCGGCTCATTGCAGCCTCCACCACCTGGGTTCAAGTGATTCTCCTGCCTCAGCCTCCAGAGTAGCTGGGATTACAGGTGCCCGCCACCATGCCTGGCTAATTTTTAGTTGAGATGGGGTTTTACCATGTTGGCCAGGCTGGTCTTGAACTACCTCAGGTGATCTGCCTGCCTCGGTCTCCCAAAGCACCAGGATTACAGGTGTGAGTCACTTCACCCGGCCCATATCATTTATTTTTAACCATTCCTATTTCCTGATAAATTATTATTATTATTATTATTTTTGAGATGGAGTCTTGCTGTGTCGCCCAGGCTAGAGTACAGTGACGCGATCTCAGCTTACTGCAACGTCCTGGGTTCAAGCGATTCTCCTGCCTCAGCCTCCCGAGTAGCTGGGATTACAGGTGCGTGCTGCTGTGCCTGGCTAATTTTTGTATTTTTAGTAGAGACGGGGTTTCACCATCCTGGACAGGCTAGTCTTGAACTCCTGACCTTGTGATCCACCCTCCTTGGCCTCCCCATTTCTTGATAAGTTCTATTAAAGATATAAATCTCCCACTAAGAACGATTTTATCTGGGTTTCACAAATTTTGATGTATTTTCATCCTTCAGTTCTACATACTTGTTAATTTCCTTTTTTACTTCTTTTTTTTTTTTTTTTTTTTGAGGCGGAGTCTCGCTCTGTTGCCCAGGCTGGGGTGCAGTGGCCGGATCTCAGCTCACTGCAAGCTCCGCCTCCTGGGTTTACACCATTCTCCTGCCTCAGCCTCCTGAGTAGCTGGGACTACAGGCGCCCGCCACCTCACCCGGCTAGTTTTTTGTATTTCTTAGTAGAGACGGGGTTTCACCAGGTTAGCCAGGATGGTCTCGATCTCCTGACCTCGTGATCCGCCTGTCTTGGCCTCCCAAAGTGCTGGGATTACAGACTTGAGCCCCCGCGCCCGTCCTCCTTTTTTATTTCTTTGTGATCATGGTATCTCCCCTGCTAGGTAAGTATCTTGTATGAGTTCTTATTTAACACAATACAACTCAAGAGCTTTGGTTTTATTTTGCTTTTTTTTTTTGTACTTTTAGTTTCCCAAGGTTTTTTTTTTTTTTTTAGTGCTTTTTAAAAAAAACTTTGTGGCAATGTAGGCCAGGTGCAGTGGCTCACGCCTGTAATCCCAGCACTTTGGGAGGCCAAGGCGGGCAGATCACAAGGTCAGGAGTTCGAGACCAGCCTGGCCAGTATGGCGAAACACCGTCTCTACTAAAAATACAAAAATTAGCTGGGCAAGGTGGCGGGTGCCTGTAATCCCAGCTACTCAGGAGGGTGAGGCAGGAGAATTACTTGAACCCAGGAGGCGGAGGTTGCGGTGAGCCAAGATCATGCCACTGCATTCCAGCCTAGGCGACAGAACAAGACTCCATCTCAAAATAATAATAATAATAATAAACTTTGTGGCAATGTAGTTACTGATTTGTAACTTCATCCTGTTGTGGTCAGAGAAGATCCTTTGTATGGTATCTGTCTTCTAAAATCTGCTGAGATTTGTTTTGTGGCCTAACATATGTTCTCTCCTGGAGACAGTCCAGTGGACACCTGAGAGGACGTGTGGCTTTGTGCTGTGAGATCCCAGTGTGGGCAGAGTCCACCTCTGGAAGGCCATTGAAGCCACCGGTTCATAGTAGCTTCTGCACACATTTTGCGGTGCGCACTCGGTAGGGTTTCATTGTGCTGATCATGAGGTTTCCTGTTGGCAGTGTGCCCGCCAGTGTAGAGCCAGTGGAGCAGCTGGGCTCAGCGCTGAGGTTTCGCCCTGGCTACAGCGACCCCATGTTAGGGTAAGTAAACCCTGCAGGCTGGGTGCATCTTCCTGGCAAAGGTGACAAGAGGACTCGGCGGGGCCAGCGTGCATCTGGGGGACTGGGATGATTCGGTCATTGGGGTGGAGCCCAAGAAGCTGTCACCATATCTGACTGTGAGGACACTTGCTCCTTATGTTGTGAAGGTGTCTTCATTAGCGTGCTGGGGTGGTGGGGACGGGGGTGACTGCGGTCGCAGGTTGACAGTTGAAGGACCAGGAGTCGGGGTCACATTGCCCTAGATGCTGGGTTGAGTCAGCGGATGACTGATGGGTCCCAGTGGGGGCAGGAGTGACAGAGAAGGGGCTGTGTTGGGCATGTGATGATGGTAGATGGGGGTGGGTATATTGTGGTTGGGCATTGGTGACAAGGGTGATGGTGATGGGGTGATGGTGCTGGCAAGCGCATGGTAGTGGGGTGATAACGGTGGGGAGAGGTCCTGGGATAACCAATGACGCCACAGTTCGTGTCAAGCTTTGTGGGTCGTGGTTACTGTGTCAGGACTCTTCTCTCAGGGAACCAAGGAGCAACCCCAGCCCCCAAGCCGCAGTCCCCTTGGCTGGGCTCCGGCCTGTGTTATTGCCATGGTAACAGGAGTTGTGACATCTTCCTGGAGGTGGAATGGGTGTGCAGCCACTAGGGCGGGCTTTCCTGGCTGGGTCTATTCCACTTGCTGTCTCCCCCCTGCCCTGGTGGATCTAGAAGCCATTTAAAGAAAAGTTCTGCCCAGGAGGGCAGGGTTGCCCCTTTGGAGGAAGAGACCTTGGGCTCTGGGCCTGGGTGGGGGGCTTGGGTTCTTGTTTTGTCCCATCCCATCCTATAGGCCCAGGCAGGTGTGGGGCCTCACTGGCTACAGCAGAATCAGGGCAGGGTTCCTGTGCATGGAGGAGGGGAAGAAGTGCAGTTGTGCCCCTCTTCAACACCTCAGGGCTGGTTGGAGCCTGAGATCTCTACAGGCCTTCCCTTCCGTGTCCAGGAGCCCAGAAGCGGCTGGCTGTCCTGCCCCAAGGCCCAGGATCGTGGGCTTTCAGATGGCCCCGTGGGAGATGCCTACGCCCAGCCTGTGTGGGCCTGGAGGCAGTCCAGGAGTGGGCCTCGTCCTGAGGACAGTGGGCATCACGGAGGGTCCTGGGAGCGCTGGGGACTGAATGGTGTTTTAGGAAGACCACACTGGCTGCTCTGTGGAAGATGGAAAGAGCAGATGGGGCGGGTGTGGGAGGTGGGAAGTCGTTTCTGTAGGAGATGGCCTTAGGCGGCATCCTGGCCAGAGGCACTGGAGGCCAGAGAGAGCCAGAGCTTGGAGGGGAGAGGTGAGGATGGAGACATACATTCAGCAGCTCCCTCAAGGGAGGGTGTGGAGGGAGTGGGAAGGACCTGGGGCTGGACACTGGACAAAGGCAGGCTTGCGGTGAAGTGCAGTGTGGAATGGAGATTTCACACCATGGAGTCCATGGCACCCTGGGCAAGAGCCAGGCAGTGGAGCAGACTGAAGAGCGGTTGGAAATTGTATGCTGGTCGCAGGCAACTCCTTGGAGAGTTTTGGCCGTGAATGGATGAGGAGTAAGACAGGCATTGAAGCTGGGCACAGTGCCACACTCCTGTAGTCCCAGCTACTTGGGAGGCTGAGGCAGGAGGATCACTAGAGGCCAGGAGTTCAGGGGTACAGTGAGCTGTGATCCTGCCTGGGAGTAATCCCTGCACTCCAGCCTGGGCGACATAGTGAGACCCCGTGGATTTTTATTTTTTATTTTTGTTTTTTAAGGGAGGCCAGGTGTGGTGGCTAATGCGTATAATCCCAGCACTTTAGGAGGCTGACACGGACAGATCACTTGAGGCCAGGAGTTCAAGACCAGCCTGGACAACATGGTGAAACCCCGTCTCTACTAAAAATACAAAAATTAGCCGGGCATATTGGCAGGTGCCTGTAATTCCAATACTCTGTAGGCTGAGGCAGGAGAATCACTTGAACCCAGGAGGCAAAGGTTGCCGTGAGCCGAGATCGCGCCACTGCACTCCAGCGTGGGTGACAGAGTAAGAGTCCGTCTCAAAAACAACAACAAAAAAGGGAGTTGGAGAATCCATGTGAAGGGTTTCTTGTGGTGTGTTTGGTTGTTTTTTTTTCTTCCAATGGTAGCGATTTGAGCTGGGACAGCAAAGAGGAGACAATGCGGAACAAGCTCCCAGAGGGGCATAGGAGGAGGAGTGGCTTCCTGGGGTTGTGGCAACAGGGAGGTGACTGGGGCCAGCTCAGCTGCACCTGTGACTCCCCAAGGTATGCGTGTGGGACCTGTTCTGTTAGCCCAGCTGCCGCCGTGGTGTGCACGGCACTGGGCCTCGTGTGCTGTGTGCTTGGTGCGCCCTGCTGCCTCCTGCCCCAGGCTATTTTGCCCATGCACTGAGAAGAGCAGGTGACTGGAGTGATGCTCCCCATCCCGCACCTCATGTCATCCCTTGTCCTCTGCTTTGTTCTGAGCCCCAGCTCATGCCTAGGACCTGCTTTATAAAGGTGCAGGAGCAAAAGAAGTGGGTGCTGGGAGGAGAGCGGGGACAGGGTCATCAGTGACTCCTCTCTTTTGAACACTCTCAGGTGGCTGCCTGTCTGGCTCCCAAGGAGACATCCTCTGCTGGGCATACGTGTGCTGCCTACTTGGCCAAGGGCACTGTTTGTCCACTGGAGAGTTGGCTCCTTGGTGAGGGTCTGGCTCCTGCTGTCAAGGCCATGGCCAGGAGCTCAGGAGAAGCCAGGCAGGGGAAAGACCCCAGGCCAGGGGCCCCACCCAGCTCTGCCCCACTCCCTGCCACTGACCCCTCCTCCTCTTCTTATTTTGGGACCCTTGCCTCTGACTGTCTCCCTCTTGGCCTTTTTTTTTCTGAGATGGAGTGTCTGTCCTGTTGCCCAGGCTGGAGTACAGTGGCACAATCTCTGCTCACTGCAACCTCCGCCTCCTGGGTTCAAGCCATTCTCCTGCCTCAGCTTCCTGAGTAGCTAGGATTACAGGTGCTGGCCACTATGCCCGGCTAATTTTTGTATTTTTAGTAGAGATGGGGTTTCACCATGTTGGCCAGACTTCTCTCGAGCTCCTGACTTCGTGATTTGCCCGCCTCAGCCTCCCAAAATGCTGGGATTACAGGCGTGAGCCACCGTGCCTGACCTGGGCTACTTTTTGACTTTTCTAGGCATGAGGCAGCAGGCTGGAGCCTGGATTCAGATGGGTCCACATATGCCTGCCCAGAACCCCTGCCGCAGGAGGATGCCACCCATGGCAGGGGTTATAGTGTGGCCCTGTTTGTGGGCTCAGGGTTGGCCCAGGTCTTCTGCCCCCTAGACTTTGGCAAGTGAATCTCTGTTTAATGGTGAGTGGCTCCAGCCATTCATGGCTTGTTCACTCCCTAGAGCTTCCTTAGTCTCCTGGTTGTTTTGGGTCCTGCCCTCATGTCCTCTTCCCAGCTCCTTGCACTCACGGGACTGTCAGGCAAGACTGTTGGGTTTCTAAGCACCGAGTGGCAGAAGCTCTGGCTGCAGACCCCAAGGAGGCCACCACTGACCCTCTGCCATGACTCCACTGCCACAGTGCAGGGGAAAGGGAGAGAGGCCCATTAGGCAAGGTGTGGCCACAGCCGCTGTGCTACCTCCCAGCCCTCAAAACGTCCTTTTTGTGGTTCTCAGGCCCTCTGTGGTACAGCCTGTCTGGGGCCTTGCTGACACCATGGGGGTAGTGTGGGTATCCCAGGTCCAGAGCCAGCCTGTTCACTGTCAGGCTTCTGAGCCCACGCCAAGCCATCGCATCCCCTGTGACTTGCACGTATACGCCCAGATGGCCTGAAGTAACTGAAGAATCACAAAAGAAGTGCAAATGCCCTGCCTCGCCTTAACTGATAACATTCCACCATAAAAGAAGTGAAAATGGCCAAGCCTTGCCTTAAGGGATGATATTATCTTGTGAAATTCCTTTTCCTGGCTCATCCTGGCTCAAAAAGCTCCCCCACTGAGCACCTTGTAACCCCCACTCCTGCCCGTCAGAGAACAACCCCCCTTTGACTGTAATTTTCCTTTACCTACCCAAATCCTATAAAACAGCCCCACACTTATCTCCCTTTGCTGACTCTCTTTTCGGACTCAGCCCGCCTGCACCCAGGTGAAATAAACAGCCATGTTGTTCACACAAAGCCTATTTGGTGGTCTCTTCACACGGACGCGCATGACATTCACAGTCTAAGGTTTGGAGCCTTCCATTTCTTGGAGGCCCCCCAATTCTCCCCAGACCCTACAATCCTGCCCGAACTCCCTGCCAGGGTGGCTGCTTCTCTGCCTTCTGTTCTCTCCTGCTTGGGCTGACTCTGCCTTTTGAACTTGGCCCCAGCCTTGGGCCTTTGGAGACCCCATTCCTTCCTCTCAGAGGCGTGGTTCCTTCGGTACTGTAGCCATGTGTGGCCTTGGACCCTAGGCCCACTCTGCAACCACCCCTTGAATTTGCTTGGTTTTCTAAGGTTACCACGCCTGGATGTCCTGCCAGGAGCTACCATGGGGTCCCTGAGTGAATTTATTCATTTACCCGTCTGATATTTATTGATTCATTCACAAGATTGTTTAAAAAATTTTTTTTATTGAGCACTCACCATATGGTAGGCACTGGAAATACAGTGGTGGCCGAAAGCTGTGTTGGATGATAATGGTACAAAGCAGGGGCAAGATGTAGTTGATCAAATGCTTACACACAACAGAGTGTCTGTTTATGAACTGAGGTAGAAAGGAATTTAATTCCATGTGGGCATGTGCTGAGGGGCCTGGCCTCTTCTGCGTGGTGGGGAAGGTGCTCCTGAGGAAGTGACACTTTGAGCTGAGGCCTGAGGGGTGAGCAGAAATGAGTTAGGTGTGGCTGAGATGAAAAGAGGAAAGGGCTGAGCTGGCAGGAGCATCTGCATGTGCAAAGGCCTTGAGTAGGACACAGCATGGTGCTTTCAAAGCTGAAAGGAGGGGA